ATGGGTTTCGGGAAACGATCGAGCTCTGCTACAGCCTATCTTCAGCCAGCTCTCGACGCTCGTACTAATATTGACGTTCTCATTGAAACTCGTGTTACCAAACTACTGAAGACTGGAACCTCCAGCGGACTCCCTGAATTCAAGAGCTTGAACGTTGTCAAGTCAGCTTCTTCCACTCCCACTGTAATCACTGCACGCAAAGAAATCATTCTGAGCGCTGGTTCTATTGGTTCTCCCCAGATTCTCATGCTGTCTGGTATCGGAAACCCCCCTGAGCTTACCAAAGTTGGCATCACACCCCAAGTCACTCTTCGCGAAGTTGGAAAGAATCTTCAGGATCATCCTCTTTTCACCGCTCAGTGGAAAGTTCGCGACGATGCTGACACATTCGATCCTCTTACTCTCGCTGGTGTAGACCCTGCTCCCTTCTTGGCTGCTTTCGCCGAGTGGAACGCGAATAAAACTGGTCTTTTAACGGCTGTTGGCGGAAAACATATGGGATTTTTCCGTCTTCCAAACAACTCGCCTTTGTTGAGGAGATATGGAGACCCAGCTCCTGGCCCTGGTTCTGCTCATTACGAACTTGCGTGGCAGAATGGTTTCGTCAGTGTCAGCCAGCCCTTCCCTACGTCTGGTCGCTATATCTCCAACATTCACGTTTTGAACACCCCCACGTCTCGTACGATATTTTATATAAAAAATTAAAAAGATAAATTCTAAATTCATTCCTCGTTTTTCCAGGTGGAACTGTCACTCTTCAGTCATCGAGCGCCTTCACTCAACCACTTATTGATCCCAACTTCTACAGCTCCGAATTTGATCTCCAGACCATGGTTTACGCTGTGAGGTCTGCCCAGAGATTCATTCGATCCAGTGCCTGGAGCGATTATGTCGTCTCTGCCTATACCGACTCTCAAGATATGTTCGCCCTGGATGCCTCTGACGAGACAATCATTGCATACATTCGCAGATGGACCCACTCCATCAAGCATCCCATGTGTACCGCCGCTATGCACAAGGACAGCGACAAGGGTGTTGTCGATAATAACTTTAAGGTGAAGAAAATTAAGGGCGTTCGTATCGTGGATGCAGCTGTATTCGTGAGTTTCGTCCTTCATTTACCATTAGAGAGGCTTCTGACCCAAAATAATTCAGCCGTTCGTGCCATCTGCTCACCCAGTAGCTGGAATATTCGGTATTGCTGAATTGGCTGCGTCTAAGATCAAGAACTTCCACGGAATTTAAACTCCGGAATTGACTCGAATTGAAATAACTTATTCATTCATTTGATCTGTACATATTATTTATTATGTCTCCTATAATTAGGCGACTACCCGCCGATCATTCTTTACAGCTTTATTCTAGCTAGATTCCATTCAATATCCGCTATTTATGTTATTTGTAGAAGATTTGTAACATTTATATTATATATATTCCTCTTTCTTGTCGCAACTATATCGAATTTCCAACTTCGGCATCTCTGTGGCCGAAACAAGATGAACACGTGCAGTGCATTCAAGGCGGCAAAAACAAGCATACTCACGAAGAAATCTTATACAATCGGATCGATGCGAAGGCAAAATAAGAGCCCAACTTGTAGATTACAATCAACATGACCACCTCAATGGGTTCAAACTCAAGTAAAGTACGCTTTGAAGGACTGTCCAGAGATGATATTGTAATAATGTAAGTGGTGGCTCCTGCCCTCTGTCACTGATGCTAATCGTCAATTTAAACACAGCGTGATCGGACCGACTGGTTCAGGAAAGAGCTCGGTAATCCATCAAATCGCTTACTGAGAAGTACGACACTTATTAGAGCAAGTTTATCAATTCTGCGGTGACAAAAGATATACTGAAAGTCGGCCATTCGTTGGAACCATGCACGAAGGACGTCGAGCACGTTAAATGTACAGTTCCTAACGAAGGCCGAAAGGTTGTTTTCGTGGATACACCATCTTTGAATGCGGAGCGAGGTGCAGAGAGAGAGATAGAATCGAAGATAAATTCATGGTTTAAAAAAGCGTGCGCAACCCTCTTCCCAATAACTCGCTATCCAAGCTGTCCTATCATATGCATTCATATCTACAGATACGGACAAAAAATTCCAATCGCTGGTATCCTCTATCTGCACAGAATCACAGACGTTAGACTTTCTGAAAATCCTGCGGCACAGTACGAGATGTTTCGGAGGTTGTGTGGCGATAAATTCCATTGCAAAGTTGTTCTCGTAACTACAATGTGGAAAGGGATGAAGGGTATGAAGCCAGGAGTTGGTGGTCAGAGAGAGCATGAAATTGGCGAGAACTGGAGGACAATGGTTGAGAATGGTTCTACTCTCGAGCGTTTCAAAGATACGACCGAAAGTGCTTGGGATATAGTAAAATCATTACTGCAGTAATTTCTCTGGAAGGATACCCCATCTTATTTTAATCATGTTCCTTAAGCAATCCAGAGGAAGAAATCTTTGAAAAACTTCATTCTACTATATTAAGATGGAGTATTGGGATCCATTAACATACATTCAAGGCTTCGCAAATCTTTTTATCCATGGAATACAGAACTATATTCATGCCTCATCCAGGCATGATCTTTTCGTCCAGCCAGCCAGTCAGAATCGATTCTGTATTTTAATTCGCGACACAGACAAATACCTGATGCGTGCCTAGTGATTTCTACGAAGGGGTGCTCCTCTTGATCTCTTTTCTTCGTAACCTATATCGTTTCATCATAGCGCAAACAAAATCTTGACTTGGATGAGCGAGGTTGTGTTCTATTCACAACGTGTCCATACCACCCGCCGCGACGTCTGCATAAACGTAATGAAACCGTACTGGTCACGGGAACTAGAATAGTCACAGTCCGCAGATGAAAAAACAACGTGAGAAAAACATGCTATAAATAGCAGTGAACCAGATCGGGAAGCTATTTACATGGGAGGGGTGAACCAAACCAACGCGTATCTTTTCCTCATCTAATGAGAGTCTCGAGAACGTAGCCGTTTCTGGCTGCTCCCCAGACATCTGAATCGAGCATTTATGGCCCGTGTACTGACATATCAACCTCTACTCTCTCTCGCATAACTCCTATTTCTGACGAGTCTGCTCAGCTTGATATCTCATTGGGGGAAGCAACGGCTCCACTGGCTACAAGGAGTTCTTGCTGGCAACTATAATCGTGAGTTGTTCTTCGTCCTTCGCATATTTTACACCCCCTTATTTTCTCCCCTCCCCCAGGCCCTCCTCATGTCATTATCGTCATCTATCCTCGTCTCTTCACTGTCTTCCTTCCCCGCTCGAGCTATGCCGCTTCCTTCTCAATCCCTGCTCGTCACTACTACCTGTGCTTATATCTTCCAATCCCATTCTCTTTGCTTTGATTTCTCATTTCTTCTTCCAATTTCAATGGGAAAAAGCCTATTCATTCCTATTGTGGACTGTCCTCTTCTTTCCCTGCCGATACATAGACCCCGTCAACGCATTGGCTTGGAAGAATGACTACGCCGCTACGAACCAACCCTAACTAACCACATCAACACTGTATATTCGGGTCATCTACTGGCTTTATCGTCGCTCTCAGAACGGAGTAACGTATCGTTCATCGTCCGACCCATGATCAGGGAGTTAGAACCGGTGGAGCAGAACGTTCTGCCCGGAGCTGGTCGCACGGCTCGGGATGGTAGTGGTATGGATTCGCGTCGTCTACGACACGACACGAACGCGCTGTGTACGCTACGCGGTCGCGTGGCTGCCCGCCTAGATCTACTGGTACACCGGACTGCTGGAAGCGGTGCCTCGCCAGTCAAGCTGGGGGGTTATGGTCGTGTAGGGGGCTCATGGCTATATAGAGCCGTGGTTAGATAGTATGTCTTTTCCTCTCCTCCCCTTATCTTCCCACATATATGAGCTGTATTAGCAAAGCACTATGTGTTGGGGCAGAGAGTGATGTACGATGGATTCATGACACACGCACGTCGTCTACGCCAGCACCCCACCCTTCTCCCACTGAACATCTTTCTACTATGTGGCTCTTAAGCCAACTCTACCTGCCTTCATCTAGATCCTCCAATCCGTGTCGAATCGAATTGATCATCTATCCATCGGCGGTAACTGGTGCCCTACATACATCAACGCACCGATTATAGCGAGGGCCTCAGCGAGCATTCAAGTAAGTAAAAGTATGGATTCTTCTCTCACTGGTAAGCTCATGGCATATCTCGCGAGAACGGATCGTTCCATATTTACTTAGGTGAAAAGTTCATGTTCTACCATTCCCGCAGGCGAACCCTGCTGTCATGCAGACTGTACACCTTCTCTCGCGGATGGTTTTGCGTACCTTACTTTGTGCAGACCAGCTTTTTGTGTGAGCCTATGAGATAGTTGACTACAAGGCACTGTGTTTACCCTCAAGGAGCACATATAGCAGGAAGTTTTTTGTGTTTCCTCCCTTCTGTGGTGAGAACTTAACCGCAACTACATTTACTAACTTAATTATTCTTCGCAATAGTCAATAATTATGTACTCATATGGTGTTAACAAGTTAGTCGGCGGCAGATGTACCTGTGATGCTGAATAGCTGGGCTCGGCAAGTTCTTCTGAATCTGTTCAGACAACTTGCCCTCCGTCCTTCGTAATTAGAAACTCTTGAGACTATCCAATGGTTTGTATAATAAGACATCGTTACTCGAAACAAAGACATTATGCGCGTATGTAGTAAATAAATAACAAAAGATATCATCTCCCTACTATACCCAGTCTTTGAATCGAACAGAGCAACGGCGAGTTAGTTTATTCGCTGTGTCTCAAAATACAGAACACGAGCACCACCAAATCATACGATAACCACTACACCATCGGGTCTTTTGAATACTTCATCAAAATAAATGGATAAGTTCCTCGAGAATTTCTGTGTCCAGAAAGATAGTTGCGAGAGAACAAAGCGGACATGTTGCGTGTGCCAATTAACATGTTAATCAAAAAATAGAAATTCTTCCGTTTCGAATACCCAGTCTCTGACTCGAACAGAGCTCTCAGGAGAGGCAGATGGTGCAGTACAATACCTACGGCGTCTGTATCGGAAGGATCCAATACTAGGTGCTACAGTTGACATGAACACTGTAACGTAGGTATTTGCACTGCACCATGCACCCAACCTGCGCGATAACCACTACGCTACCGGGCTGTTGTAGGAATTGGTAGTAAAAGATATATATACAATCTCCAGGAGGAGGGCATGAGGCGAACTTGTGACGTTGGAATAAAAATAGAGGTGTGAGCCAAAGGAGGACGTACCTATTAGCAGCCAATTCCGGTCGGTTCTAACGTCCATCCTCATTCCGATTTTCGTTTTACTCGTGCTTTAGAATTACTAGGAAAATACTCATCTTCTGTTCGGATTCTGTCTTCTGTGAATCGATGGCTGATGGAACCTCGAGATGATCATATCTGCCTACTTGTGCTACTGTTGTACCGAGCCTTCAAGTTACAAGTCTGGAGCTGTGTTCGTTGTAGGCTTCCTCTCGTCTATAGAGTAATGCATCATCCTCCAAGGTGGAACCATCTCTCAGTTGCTCAGCTGTTGAAATAAGCGAAGTAAACGTTTGGCCTCGTGAGCTCGTGAGGCAAACGGATAATGTACAGGCTCGCATATACACTACTTATATACGAAGTATCTACATATTTGGATATATATAAAATGATTAATGCAGCCACAAAAATGTAAGTCTGACTGCGGGCAGAGTCCGGATCGTGCTCGCTCGTAATCTTAGCGCTCATATTCCAACATCAGTTTTTTCTCCTTCCCAGCCCACCGATTTAGAACTGTGAACCTGCTTCAACCCCTTCTCCTCGTCCTCTCGTCCTCTCCCCACCTCAAAGCTTGCACTACCACCTCTTCTCGTATCCAAAGGCGACCTTCATCCTTCCTCGACAGTAGAGTGAGTCACGACTGCACCACCACGCCTCGTCTTTCTCCTCGTAGGCACTGGTCGTATTTCTTGCACATTCTATGTATCCTCCGCAAGCCAATCACCCACCAGGCACAATGGCGTAGCGATCTACTCTACTTACTCAACTTCAAACAATCGCTCTGCTCCAATACTTGAACATGCTATCATTACGACATTTCAACCAAGCCTAGCTCATCGGATGCTAAGCGGTTAACATGTCCCTGCTGCTTGTCTGACGCGCTATGTTCTGTGTCGCTTCAAGCTATAACGAGGCCTGTAAGTCACTGCTCATTGCGCATCGCGACTCATACTTATCAATATCCTCTAGATGTTCTATGATGGCGCGCATTAAGGGTGCTAGATATTTCTAGTTGCTAATGCTGCGCTGCTCGTCGTCCTCAGGACCAAGTCACATTCCTATATTTTCAGTTTGATATACTGCATGTAGTATGATGGAGTTGAGAATTTCTCCTCTACTTTATCAATCTACGTTATTGGTTGTGTTAGTCGGTGTTAGGATGCCATGTTCTAATCGACGCTCTCTAGCCCTGTCTAGACATGCGCTCATAAGAACCATTATACGGTTACACGTTGTACTCTCATCTGGGCATCCACTACGGTATCCACTGACGAGCCTCGCACGGCTCTGTACTCGGAAACTCGGTCCTGCCGCCGCTAAATCGACTTCAGTATCTCTATTT